GTCGCTAGTTTGCTAATGCCGAGGACTCCGGCATCCCATGCGCCGTCTTCCTCTCTCCACCACCGCCGCCAGGTTGTGGGTCAGGGCCCTAATATAGTACCCTAAATAGTAAGATCATAAGGACCCCAATATAAGGTACCCTGTATTTTCGGAAACTCCCATTTGTGCAATGGGAGGTGGAGGTCCCAGAGACGGTCGCCCTGCTTCCATCGGCGCGGCCCGCTTAATGGCGCTTTTTGGACTGGATGAACTGCCGGACCTAGTGGCAAAGGCGAGGAAGGTCAACAAGGGACTACGCTGCGAGGCAATGAAAAGCACTGGCACAGAGGCATCCCTAAACCCTAAACCCTAAACCCACAACCAATGTGTGTTAAGCAGCCTCTGGATGCAGGACAAACCGCACCAAGTTTTGTCAGCTCTGCAAGTCAAAGAAGCTCACGTGACTCTAGCGGTCCCTAAACCCTAAACCCTAAACCCTAAACCGTCTGCGTTCTTTTCTACTGTGGCGGCCGGCACGCTACAGTTGCACCGCTGCCGCCGCGGCCACTGGGTCGCTACTTCCAAACCTCCTTCCCAAAACTGTATTCTGATTACTAAGTGTCCATCCTGTGTTCTAGAGCAGTTCTAATAAGTCTTAGAGAGTATAAAGCAACCCTATTCCAATTATGAAGGCCCCTATATTGTGCGGTTTAGGGCTTAAGGTTTCGGACGAGGCGGTTCTGCCATATCTTGCAGGGGGGCTGCGACAGAGGAGCTTCTGCTGGACCCGTGATGCAGTAGCCTTACCATTTTCAATAAGGTGCGTTCCCTAAACCCTAAATCCTAAATTTTACCCCAAACCCTAAACCCTAGACCCTAAACCCTTAACCCGACATGGTTCTGAATGGCCGAGGTGGGTTCGGCTGGTTATTGGCCTAGGACGATTTAGAGTTCAGTAAAAGAAAACTACAGGTGGGGAGTTTAGGGTATATAGGGCTTCTATAAGGCTTCCATAAGGTATCTAGGCCTGCTATGAGGCTCCTGTAACGGTAACTACCCACCTGAGAGTTCTAGACAGACCTTCTATTCCTTTGTACGCGTCGTGGGTATGTAGAGTGGCTTGCAGATGCCACCTCAGGGGGATCTGGGAAGCAGGGAACCGTAAAGGCCGCAAACCCTTGAAAAAAAAAGCCCTCAAGGTCCTAATAGTCCTAACACCTGAAAGCCTAAACCGCTGAACCTCACAAGCCCTAAACCCAAACCCTTCACCCCAAACCCAAACCCTAAACCCCCAAAACCTAAACCCTAAACCCCAAACCCTAAACATCCCTAAACACCGAACCCTAAACCCCAAAC